ACTCAGCCTAAAGAAAGGCTGCATTAATCCATTGGTTGTCTAGAACCAATCTGGTAGAGGGAGAGGCCTACAGCTTGGGCAAAGTTGGGGCATGCTGGAGGAAAGCTTTTAAGTTCCGTTGGCCACTCCCCTACATTGCAGGGAGACAATTGCTACCTGCCCCTTTAACAGCGCCCTGTAGGATGGAGAAATTAATAAAAACAGGTTCAGGTTGTCCAACTAGCATCATTCTTCCTCTCACTGCTCCAAGCTCCTTGAGCTTAAGGGCTACAATCTAGAGATGCTGACACTCTTCCCCCCACAATAGCAACTGATAGGAATAGCCTAATGGAAGAGCACTGCAAAACAGCAATCCATAGTGGTGCTGTTGCCCACGGTTTCTTCATCCTGCAGTTCATCCCCTCCCTGATAAACTGAAGTCACTTGGAAGGACTCAGACCCAGGCCTGGCCATCAGCTCTTCTTCAGTACTCAAAGGGAAGTGTCTAGGAATGCTCATCATGCTATGTTGCATTATCTGGGACCATGGAGCCACAGAATTCTCTGAGACAGAAACACGGGGCTGGCTCAGTGGTTCTCCACCAAGGGGGATTTCATTCCCCAGTAGGCACTGACACTGTCACAACCAAGGGGGTGGTGACAAGGGAGTGTGCTACCCTGTCATCAACGGGATAGAGACCAAGGCTGCTGCTATATCCTACAATACACTGGACAGCTCTCACTCCAAAAAAACAAAAGACCCAAAATCTCAACAGGGCTGAGGTTGAGAAACACCAGATGAACAAAACAACATAACTGAATCAAAAACAAATATATAGTACATTATACATTATATAATTCCTATTTGGAATCAGGGATTAATTTAGTCATGCATCAGGGGCCGGCGCTGTGGCGCAGTGTGTTAATGCCCTGGCCTGAAGCGCCGGCACCCCATATGGGCCGGTTCTAGTCCCGGCTGCTCTCTTCCAATCCGGCTCTCTGCTATGGCCTGGGAAAGCAGTAGAAGATGGCCCAAATCCTTGGGTCTCTGCACCCGTGTGGGAGACCTGGAAGAAGCTCCTGGCTCCTGGTTTCAGATTGGCGCAGCTCCAGCCGTTGCGGCCAACTAGGGAGTGAACCATTGGATGGAAGACCTCTCTCTCTCTGCCTCTCCTCTCTCTATGTAACTCTTTCAAATAAAAATAAATAAATCTTAAAAAAATTTAGTCATGCATCCAATACATACTATGTATCTACTGTAAGGTAGGTACTGTAACCATCAGAGTATACTCACATAAGAGTAACCAAAACTATATATCATTTCTGACTTCTGGGGTCTAGTATAAAAGGCAGAAATTAATTAAAATTAATAAAAAGGGGCAGGGAGGTACAATCTAGAATTCCCCAATTGCCCCACTGCACAGGCCAGAAAAAGCCCCTTACCTTACATCTTTGCTTAAATAACTCTAAGGAATAATACCCTTCAGCAGGGCTACACACCAGCTTCAGACTCGCGCTGTGCACATGGGGGTGCACAGATGTCTGCTCAGCGAACAGATGAAGGCTGCATAGTTAAACACAACTCAGTGACCCCTTTTAAAACATTGTCTGCAAGGAGAAAACAAAAATGAAAGAAGAAACTGGAGGGCCAGGCCAGGTCCTTTGTTAGACAACAAGGAGAACACTCATTGATCGACCTACTATTATTGTACCATTGCTCCTCTAGCCCATGGCCTCCTCACACCACGCTACCTGCAGCTCCTTAAGCAAAACACTCTCCAGCACTTCCAAGCCCTTCCTCACTTAGCCCCCCTGGAAAACTCTTATTTATGCTTCATGATCCTGACTACGTCACTCAAAGCTCCCCAGGCCTACTGTACCCTGTAGACTTGGTCTCTGCCACTTGTTTTAGCTTAACTTTGTACTGAGCTCCATAGCACTCATCATAACTTCTTACCATAATTTGGCTACAAGCTTCCTTGAGAGCAGATATTCATCATAGTAGCCAAGATGCTAGTCTAGAACCTAGAGCACAGAAGTTCAAGTTCTGAAGAATGAAAGAATGAAGGAATGAACTGCATCCAGCACTGTCCGACAAAAGGAATCTGACAAAATCAGTGCTCTCCAAAAGTTTTCTACTTGATGGGGAAAAAAAAAGATAGATATGAAATAACCATTAAAGGATTTTGCCACCGGCGCCGTGGCTCACTAGGCTAATCCTCCGCCTGCAGCGCCGGCACCCGGGGTTCTAGACCTGGTTGGGGCGCCAAATTCTGTCCTGGTTGCTCCTCTTCCAGCCCAGCTCTCTGCTGTGGCCTGGGAAGGCAGTGGAGGATGGCCCAAGTGCTTGGGCCCTGCACCCCATGGGAGACCAGGAGAAGCACCTGGCTCCTGGCTTCTGATCGGCGCAGCGCTGGCTGTAGTGGCCATCTGGGGAGTGAACCAATGGAAGAAGGAAGACCTACCTTTCTTTCTTTCTTTTTTTTTTTTTTTTTTTGACAGACAGTGGACAATGAAAGAGAGAGACAGAGAGAAAGGTCTTCCTTTTGCCATTGGTTCACCCTCCAATGGCCGCTGCGGCCGGTGCACTGCGCTGATCCAAAGCCAGGAGCCAGGTGCTTCCTCCTGGTCTCCCATGCGGGTGCAGGGCCCAAGGACTTGGGCCATCCTCCACTGCACTCCGGGCCACAGCAGAGAGCTGGCCTGGAAGAGGGGCAACTGGGACAGAATCTGGCGCCCCGACCGGGACTACAACCCCGTGTGCCGGCGCTGCAGGCGGAGGATTAGCTGGCAAACCTCTCTCTCTCTTCCCCACTGCCTAACTCTGCCTGTCAAAAAAAAAAAAAAAAAAGAATGCTTAGAGGATTTTGCCAGATATAAACTGGATGCTTGTTATGAGGAATGAACATTTTTTTAACTATATGAACAGCGTCTGTGTAAGAATGTAAACTGCCTGACACTGTACAATTAAACAATAAGTATCTTCAGGGACTCCTGGAAATCCAAGGCCTTCTGTTACAGTATTGATCACAGTATTCATCACTGACAGCAATAAAAGGCAAAGTTTCAAGCAGAGAACATACATGGGAACATATAACACTCTTTATCATGAATGCCTGGCACACAGTAAGTGCTCAATAAACTTTCTTGAACAAGTAATCTGATTTCATACCCACAGGGAAAAGCTGTCTATACCCTTAGGGAGGCAGGTATGTCAGGAGTTGGAGTCACCTAGACTATTTGCTTCTCGTAATGAAAACAGAAGCAACTCAGGGCCCCAATCTTCCCTCTGTATTTAGCAGCCAGTTGCCAAAAGGTTTTTCTAGCCCCATTTTGGTAAAAGGAATAGAAAAGAGTTGTGCAGGGGCCAGCGCTATGGTGTAGCAGGTACAGTCACCTCCCGTAGTGCCGGCATCCCATATGGGCACCAGTTCGAGACCTGGCTGCTCTGCTTCTGATCCAGCTCCCTGCTAATGCACCTGGGAGAGCAGTGGAAGATGGCCCAAGTGCTTGGGCCCCTAAACCCACATGGGAGACCCAGAGGAAGCTCCTGGCTCCTGGCTTCAGATCTGCCCAGCTCTGGTCATTGCAGCCATTTGGAGAGTGAACCAGCAGATGGAAGACCTCTCTCTCTCTCTCTCTCTAACTCTTTCAAATAACTAAATAAATCTTTAAAAATGTATCCCATGCACATGGTGATAACACATCAAATCCATTCACCAAACTCACCCTCCACAGTGCACCACCCAAAATTCAAACTTGGGAGATGAGATTTAATAACAGTTTCCAATACTGAGCAGAAGGAGTACTGGATATCTGGTAAGATGTACTTTTCTGATTACTGGATTAGACAAAGAAAAACTGCTATCAGAATCCACCAAATGCATGAACGGCTGCCTGGATTAAACTGAAAAGCTTAAGGAACAAGAGACTTAGCCTTCAACAAAGAAACTCCAGCCCAGGACCCTCCCTTGGAATAAAGATAAAGGGGAGAGTTTAAGAAGTGAGGCAGAGTAGAAAGAAAGCTCCAAGAACCTTCGTCATCCACCACTCACTCACTCATTTGTGTGCTGGATACACAAAAACAAAAGACACTATTGCTACTGTTAAGGGACTCTGTCCATTGGATTATAAAATGCCCACAAGTGGTTATCACACAAGGAAGAAAGTAAAGCCCTCAGATAGGTACAAAAAGTTTATTGAGAGCCAGCAGAAATCTCCTAATTAGAAAGCTTCTAGACACTCCTGATTGTAAAACATACCAGGATTCAAGGGTGAGAGATAAGGCACAGGGGGTTAAGCCACTAATTAGGATATCTGCATCCCATACTGGAGTACAAGTTCCCATCCACCTTCCTGTGAAAGCTGAGAGGCAGCAGATGACCGCCCAAGTGGAAGACCCAGATAGAGTTCCCGGATCCTGGCTTCTGCCTGACCCCGCTCTAGTGTGGGCATCTGGGGAGTGCACCAGTGGATGGAATATATTTCTATCTAAAATCTTAAAAACAACATGTCAGGATTCTGAAAATATGAGGACATTAGAAGAAAAAAACCATCATGGTTCATTCTCTTTACATCTTGCTAAACTGACAACTGGCATAGTGTCTGCCCCAGGCTCAGGCCACGGGCATCCCCCTGAACAACCGCCACATGTTCTCATCACCTAGGAACAGTGGTGACATCTAACCAGCGCAGAGCACTGAAATGACCAGGCTGTGGGTCCGCTCCCAGGTAGCCACCAATTAATCCTCGCCACAGCCCCACAAGGTAGGAACCGTGGTCATCTCCACTTTACAAGGAAGGAAACTGGAGCACAGAGAAACTGAGTGACCCAACCAGGATTTGAATCCCAAATCTATGCCCTCAGGGCAAATTGCTTAGCCTTCTTTGTTGCTCCATCTGCAAAGTGGGTACCACAATCATTCTATTTCCTGAGGCGGAAAGGAGATTTTATCCATCTAAATTGCTAAGCAATTACAGTGCCTGTCAGAGTGCAGTAGCTAGGTCCCAGGTTACCTGTACCTGCAGAAGGCAAGTCTTCCAGTAACCACAGAAACGCTTTCCCCAGGTCCCTGCCAACTCCTCCAGAACATTTCTCCCCGCTTCTCACCGGGCACGGCGGCGCCAGCGCCAGAGGGGCCCGGCCTCGCTCAGGCCCGGGGAGAAGGCAGGTTCTGGTCTCCTGCCACTCAGCAGCACACAACTCCACCGCGTTTCGCACTTGGGTGAACTCGTGTTAGTGGAGGCTCACAGGGCCACGTGTGACCCGCTGGGCGGCAGAAGGAACTCGGGCGGGCGCACCGCCAGGAAGAGGAGTCCATCCACCGCCAAGCCCGAGGGTGGGCACTCCTCCTTCGCCGAAGCCCTGGGGGCGGCTCGGTCCCCACCCCCACCCCCACCGCCGCCAGGGAGCCACAGGCACCGGCCGCCCAGTGCCAGCCGGGTGCCTTCCCCACCAAGTCCCCTGAAATACCCTTCCGCGGGAGGAGCACCGAGCACTTCGTGAAGCCAGGTGAAGCGCAATATCCTCGGCGCCCAGAAACAAAGTCCACGGAGCCGCCACCTTTGCCTCCCCGGCGCCGGCAGACACGTTCGAGCCGGGCCGCAGGTTGTGCGAGCCGGCGCTCCCTGCCGCTCCCCGCCGCGCCACGCGGCGGCCCCGCACTCACCAGGTGAAGACTTTGCCTTTGATCCGGCTCAGCACCCTGCCGAACGCCTCGGCCGCTCCCAGCGCGTGGGCCTGCGCTGCGCCGGGTGCCGCGGGCGGTGCAGCCTCCATGGGGACCCCTGAGCGTCTCTTGCGCGCGGAATCCCCACAAGTGCCGGGGCTGAGAAGCCGGGAGGCGGCGCCTGCGCTGCCGGCGCGGGCTCCCCTCGACTCCCGCGCGCGCTCGCCGCTTCCCTCGCTGCTTCGCTCGCTCGCTCCTCCGCGGGGCTCCGTCTGCGACAAATCATTAACTGTCAGGCCCAGGGACCAGACAACACATTAGCAGATAACAACCTGGCACCTCCGGGGCAGCAGGAAGAGCAGGGATTTTGTTGGTTTTTTTTTTTTTTTTTTTTTTTTTTTTGCCTTGGCACTGGAGCCTCCGTGCTGGGTGGCACCCAATGCGCATTTCAGGTTTTTACGGTTCCTTGTTTGAAATCAGCAAAGGAGGTGATACGAGGTTGTCGTGACTGCTCCCAGGGTGTCCTGACCCAAGAGGCAGCGAGCTAACAAGTGAACTTTGCTAACTTCAAGGACCTCCCGACCTGCCGCCTGCTCTCCTAATCTCCCGCCCTCTGACACATTTATACCAGTCAGAACCCCCACCACCGCACCCCACCCCCACGCATCAAAAGACCTGTCTTTTCTTCCCAAACAGAGGTCACATCCCAAAAGGATCCCGTAGAAGTGTCTTCGCGGCGTGGAGCGAGGCGGGCTTGCCTTCTCGGGCGTGCTGGGGCGGTGTTTCAGAGCTGGGCCGGGAGGAAGACGCTGCAGAAGCCCGGGCGCTGAGCCAGCAGGCCCGGGCTCGGCCACGCCTTCCAACGCTTCGGCGGACCGAGGCGGAACTGAGAGGGACCGAGAGCCCAGTGGCAAAGTTCCTGACTCTCTCTTGAGTCTGGTAGATTCGGCGCTTCCGGGAAGGAGGAGGGCGAGAAGACAAAAGAAAGAGGTGTTGGGACCGTGTTTTGTTTTTCCTGGCCACTTCTTTTAGACAGGACTAAAGTAGGTTGGAGAAGGCAGTCCATCCTAAGAGGCGGCTCTGGAGGAACAGTCTAAGAAAAAAGTAGGTTTTGAAAAATAAAATGTAAGTTCGGCAAGTTTAGCAGCTGAAAGAGTCCTGAAGTTTAGAGGAAATGTGCTTTTTTTTTAATTGAGGCTAGATGGGAAGGAAAAAATGAAGAACCTGACCACCACAGAGGATTGATTATTATAGTGCAACCACATGGAGAAAAACACACTGAGGATATTGACAGCACCTTTAATATGCACTCATTTTTGTAACATACACAGCCTGCAGATTGACAATGCTGAGTTGTAACTAAGCCCTGTGCTCTTAAAAAATAGGATGGTTAAGAAACCGCCCACCCTTTTCTGTTCTCAGAAAGGCCTTCTGCCTGTGGTTTATGGATAAGACCCAAGGTTGCTTTGTACTAGAACAAGGCCTGACACTGAGTTTCCAAATTCCTACCCCATGCATGCCTCATAAATGATAGGTTGAATTGCTTGTCTCCACTAACTAATCCGAACAAAATGATTGTTAATCAAATTACTGTTAAATTTTTCTCCTTCCCCCAAGCGTATAAATTTCCACCTACCCTGCATAAACCTGCCTTAGAGTAAAACATTTTCTGATTGCAGTCAAGCCACCCTTTCATTTCACTGCCCCACAGGGAGAGAATAATCCCCAAACGCTGATATGGATGGTCATCTTTCCCCACCCTCCACTTGTACTGATCCTTTCAAATAAAGTCCTTAACTAAAACAGATTTGATTTTTATTGGAGTATATATATGGTTATATGGACATGAAGAAAAGAATAGGATACATGTCAATGCAAGTAACCTTAAAAGAAGGTAAGAATGCAGAAAATGAGGGAAAAAATTGTACTTAAAAGAAAAATCTTCAATGTCTGGCACTGTGGTGAAGCAGCTGCTTGCAATGCTGGCATCCCGTTATCAGAGTGCCTGGTTGAAGTCCTTCGCTTCCAATCCAGCTCCCTGCAAATGTACCTGGGAAACAGCAAAAGATAGCCCATGCATGTACTTGGGCTCCTGCCGTACATGTGGAGAACCAGGATGGAGTTCCTGGTTCCTGGCTTGGGCCTGGTCCACACCTGGCTTTTTTCAGCTATTTAGGAAGTGAATCAGCAGACGGAAGATATTTCTCTGTGTGTGTGTATATGCATATGCGTGTGTCACTACGCCAAATAAATAAATAAGTCTTTAAAAATTGATCAAATCTTCAGTATTATGCTATAGTCCCTTTTATGTAAAATATACGGTTTTGCATAAGTACATGATATTAAAAGATGCACTTAGATGTTGTGGTAGAGTGAATACATGCCCCCCCCCCAAAAAAAAAAAACCTGAATCCTAATCCCTAGAACCTGAGAAGCTTGCTTTTTGCAGCAAAAGGGACTTTGCAGATGTGAGTAAGTTACACACATGTGCTGAGGGATTATCCAGTGGGCTATAATGTAATCACAAGCGTCATTTTAGGAAAGAGGCCGAGGAAGACTTACAACAGAAGAGGAGACAGTGATACGATGATGGAAACCGAGTTTGGAGTAAAGCACTGAGAACTGGAAGGACACGCCACAGGCCAAGGAATAGCAGCAGCCACGGGAGGAAGTCAGTAGCTCTACTGACTTCAGGAGAGACTGTAGCCCAGTGACACAGATTTTGGATGTCTGACCTCCAGAATTATAAGACAATAAATCTGTGTTGTTTCAAGCCACTAAATTTTTGCTAATTTGTTGCAGCACCTGTAGGGAACAAAGCAGAGGTTCATACACTTATTTATAAAGATTGTAACATACTGTAGGTAATTAAAGTTACAGAGTAAGCATTTAATATGATTCCATTTTAATAAAAACCATAACTAAATAACTAAATATCTTCATATAAATAAATACACAAATACAGATATACACATATATTTTGTGCTTTCCTGTGTTTATATGAGCTAGAAGGGTTGGGTGTGGAAGAATGCATACCAGGCAGTTGATAATGATCAGAACCTGGGAGTGCTCAGTGATAGGAGGGGTGGATAAGGAAAGAGAGATTGCCTTGTTTATTTTTATTTTGTTTTCTTACTACAGGCATATACTGCTTTCAGTTAAGACATTTTTCAGGGTGGTATTGTGACCCAGTGGTTAGACTGCCACCTGCCACTATCATCTCATGTGAACACAGGTTAAGTCCCAGCTGTTCCACTTGGGATCCAGCTCCCTGCTCATGTGCATGAGAGAGCATCCAAGAATGGCCCAGATGGAGTTCCAGGCTCTTGGCTTTGGCTTGGCCCAGCCTCAGCCATTGCAGCCATTTGGGGAATGAACCAGCATATGGAAGATCTCTCTGTCTCTCCCTCCCTCTCTGTAACTCTGCTTTGCAAATAATCAATAAGTAAATAAATCAATCTGTTTAGGTTGCATTAATCTTAATTTAAAACATGCTAGGCTCAACATGTGGTCCCCAGAGGACCACAACTACAAAGTTATATGTAGTTCCTAACCACAAAATCTTCCTCAAAATGTTGCAATAGTAGCACTGCTTTAGCCTTCCTTCAAAATGAGGTCATCTCCCTTACTGAGGAGTATTGATCAGTCTGTGTTATTTTGGTATCAGGATTAAAATACATTGAGTAGAAATAAGGGCACCAATCCACAAGTTTTTTCAAAGAAATTAACTATGGAAAAAAATTTAGGTATTGGGGATTTTGCATAAAATAGCCTTACAAATATGAAAATCAACCATCACTTATTAAACACCTACTGTGTGCCAGATACTGCATGCTCTCTATTGTTCATATCAATCACCCTAAATCTTGGCGGTTTCAAACACCAATCATTTTATTATACTTTGTGGTTTACGTGGGTCAGGAATTTAGGAAGAGGTGGCCCAGGCAGTTCTGGTTAGAAGTCTCTCCTGTGGTTTGTCATGATGATGTAAATAAACAGGATCTGTAAAACAGTAAATACAAGGTTTATTCAGGGCAGGACATGAGTGACCCAGGCCCAGGACCCACAAGCCCAAGGACTTTCAATGAGTCTTAGGAAGTGTTCAAATTGTAGTCAGAATTTATGTATTATACAAGGAATATACATTTTTCCAGTTTAGTCCTAAAAGTCTTTAGGTAAGTTGGGGGTCTGGTGGGAGGCCACACATTTCTCACTGGTTAGAGATTACTTTCTTTAGAGGATGATTGGCTACAAGCATCTCCAGAGATGGAGGAAATTATCTCTCAAAAGAGGTTCCTGATTGATTTTAAGAACATTTCTGTGAATGGACAGGGAATGTGTGGATAAATAACAAAGAATTGCTCAAGGTTGCTCCAGATGACTAAGGCAAAACAGACCCAGTGTGCACTGAAGTCAAAGTGACGTAGACAAGATTGATAGCTGTCTGGTCACTCCTCAGACAAGTCTCAGCAGGTGTTTCTCTTGAATGCCTTGCAGGCTTTTGGGGGGCAGTTTGTTCTCATCAGAAGGTTGCTGAAGCTGGAAGGCATAGGTTGGAGTAGGAGGTTAAGGCTGGAACAACCGGAGCCTGGCTAGCATCTCTGTCTCCCTACATAGTTTCAGGAGCTCTTCATACAGACTTTCTTTGTGGGCTAATTGGGGCTTCCTCACAGTCTGGTGACATCAGAGTAGCTACTCTAGTTCTATGGCAACTGGTGCCCCATTCCCCAGGAAAGTGCCCTAAGAGAAACAATAACCAAAGCACATTGTAAATGTCCTTCAACTAAACACCACCATGAATACACATGTAAACAAGTTGAACTTATTATTCCTCACATGGATACAGGGGTATTAGAAAGACAGTCAGCTTTTTGTATCCAGAGTTCCAAATCTGCAGATTCAATCAAACCCAGTAAATATTGAAAAAGAATTTGCATCTGTCCTGAATAGGTACAAACTTT